GACTGTTTGATGCATGTTTTCTGTGTGTTTGAGGGGATCCCCTCTTTTCTTTTTTGAATGCTTGATTACTTGATGGTGGTTGATTCACGTGGTTGTCTGGCATTTCTTTTAGGTGGAAAATCTGACTCGCCAAGCTCAACTTCAAGAAATTGAGCTAGAAAGACTACTAAACAGCTGAAAGAAGCTATAGCCATTGCTGGTGAAGAAACTGCTAAATGTAAGGCAGCAAAGGAAGTGATTAAGTCACTTACTGCTCAGGTAGATGGGTATTAGTAATGTAAAGTAGTGTGGTAGTATATAAATTTGTATCTAATTGATTCTGTTGCTATGATTGTTCTGATTGAAGTCAAAATTTTAAGTAGTTCAGCAGATTTTGTTCCACAGACCATAACACAACCCTAGCAGTAAAAGTTATTATTGCTAATTATAGTCTTGGAAAACACTCCAAACAATTTGACCTTCATTACAAACAATAGCTCATATTGATACACAAACACCAACTTGAGAGTCTACTTGTTTGTGTGGAATTTTTTATGTTATAGATTGTAACTTATCAGTTTTAAGAGTCTTGTAATTTTTTTATAGCAAATGATTGTATTGTAATTTGAAACCGTTATATTCTTATTCAAATATATTTGATTGAAGAAACATCTCATGATGACTCGGAGAAGCTAGCTATGTTTGTTTTATGTTTCAATCCATCGTCTCAAATATATTATTGGGAAGATGATAATGCACCTTGAGCATGTGTTTAATTTGTGTTTTAAGTTAGAGTACTCTGGAATAAGGACATTGTTTGGAAGAGTGGGTATTACGGTAGTATTTTATGTAGTTCTGAGACTCCAACTTCGTTTTTTAAGTATGAATTTGTTCAGAGCATTTACTTTGCCTCTTTGGCGAAGATAGCTTTCTTAAATAACTTAAATATATCCTGATCTGGTCATCTGGAGACTTTAGTGGTAACCATGTCTTTGTTCTGATGAAAATACTAATTGTTGTATTTTGAATAAAGTGCACTTCACAGGTTGAGAAATAATGTTTCATGAGCTGTGCAAGCAGATTTTGAATTTGTTTTTCAAGAAATAAATTGACAAGAGATCAGAGTTTATATTGGGCTTTGATTGAACAAGTCTAACTGATCCTATGTTTCTTTGTATATTACACTGAATAGTTGAAGGAAATGGCTGAGAGGCTACCTGTTGGAGCAGCAAGGAACGTCAAATCACCTTCTCTCGCTTCTTTTAGTTCCAGTCCTGGTTCCAATGAAGTCGGCAATGCTTCTGTTGAGCGATTGAATATCCAGGCTACTAATCTAGAACCGGACTTGACAGGATCAAACAATCAGTTACTGTCAAATGGATCAAGCACCATCAATAACCGCATTCAAGGTCACAATAAACAGAGCCAGTCGGATGCATCAAATAGAAATGGAAGCAGAACGAAGGAAGGTGAATCTCGTAATGAGAATGAATGGGTTGAGCAGGATGAACCTGGTGTATATATCACACTTACTTCCCTACCAGGAGGTGTAATAGATCTGAAGAAGAGTTCGTTTCAGGTATGGATTCCATTGTGGGGTAATGTTTCCATGTAAATTTGCAGGACTCAATCAGGAAATTGGTCATGTAAAATGTGGTCATGGTATTTATGCATACTAAAAAACGGTCCTTATTCAATTATCGCTTGATTTTAATATCAGTTGAGCCTCCATAAGGCAATTAAAAAAAAAAAAAATGGTGCCGTAACTTATTTAGGCTTTCTAGCATGGATGAGTGACTTGTATCATGTTGTGTATAACAAAGAAGCCTATTGCTCTGTATTTAATCTTTAGCATCAAGAAACTAATTTATGTAGCAGTTTAGCTGGAATATAGAGAGGAATGATTATCTCCGTTAGGAGTACCTGTACCAGGAGTGCTTGCTATGTTACTGACCCCCTCATCCTCACTTTTTGGCTTGTGTTTGATACAATGTCTCTTACATATTTTAACCTTTACACTGTTGAATGCAGTCGAAAGCGGTTTAGTGAAAAACAGGCAGAACAATGGTGGGCCGAGAATCGTGCACGTGTGTATGAACAATACAACGTGCGCATGGTTGACAAATCTGCCGTTGGTGTGGGGAGCGAGGATCTGGCTCATTGACATAACAGTCTGTATATGAGATTTTCTTTTCGACATTTTGGCTCTGATTTACAGGAAGATTGCACTGATCAAGTACATTCAGCTTCCATCTATTATAAGGCCTAGAAGGAAGCTAAGTTTGGCATGATAGGAAAGAATAGGGATTTGATTGTGATTCTGTAATTTCTCCCCCTTCTTTTCCCCTTTCTAAAATTGATTTCACTTTCCATTTTTTTCCCTATATGTACCTTGTGTGGGGGTTGAGGGATAGAAATGTAAATTCTTAGTAGGTTGCTGGCTCTTGTTGAAAGTAGCTGCAGTGTAAATTTCATAAGCAAATGCATTTGCTAATTCTTTCCCCCTTCTATACTGTTCATAAGTTCCCTCGGTCCTAGGAGGGGTTCTTTCTTGATTTAAACGTGGTTATGTGTGTGTTGGTTCCCCATAGCTCTTGCAATTAGTATTGTTTACCTGGGAGATAATTTGACACTTGCAGCTCTTGATGGAGAAATTGATGGTTGCGTGATTGATCTTGCAAGGTCCCTCATTTATAATATAGCAGAACGTAAAGGTAGTCCATACTCAATCCAAAGCATATCTTGGAACTTATAATTGAGTAATAATAAGAGGAGAAATTATAAGAGTGGGAAGCAAGAGACTGTGTAAGGGGGATTTGGATTCTATCAAGTGTTCCAAATTCTCCCTTCGAGTGAGTGCTTATTTTGTAGTCGTATGATTTTATCAATGGTTGAGAACTTATATTTGATCATAAATAAATGAAATGATGAGTTAAATGGTGTTGTGATGATGCAATATAACAATTTTTATTTTTCTGGCAATCGTATGAATGTCGGATTAAGATGATGTGGTGCATAATTCTTTCTTTGAATCACAGTATTAGTTATTGTTAACAAATTCATGCTACCATAAAAAAAATTTTAGGTGAAACCTTATATTTTTTTTAAAAAATTGTTTATATCTTTTCATTTATGCTTTTTAGTTACGTGCATAGTTTTTAAATATGGGTATTTAAAGATAATGAATAAAAAAATAAGAATGTAAATGGAAAATGAATATAAAATTTATCCCATATTTTATATTTTGGATTAAAGAATGCTTTTAAAAAGTGACTTATATTATGGTTAAAAAGTAGTATAGTAAAAAATAGAGTTGTGATTTGGTATTTTTTTTTTAATATCTAATTTTAATATCTTCAACAACTGTTTGGTTTAATTGGCAACCTGTGTAATACCATGTGAAATATTTATTGGGTAAGAGGATTTGAGACCCTCATTGAATGCAAGTTTATGAGAGTTTTTAAATCAACTGTAGCAGTAATCTCCAAGCATTCAACCAATACAAGCAAGCGTCACTGAAGATAAAGCAATAGACTTGAATAGAATAGAACATCATAGGATCATCATCCATCAAGGGGGGGAAATAAACTTCGTTAATTGAATTATTGAATGTTTTTGTGGGTATGGATGCTTCTGGATCTGAGTTTGTGGTTTGCTGCAGAAATGCAATTGAATCCATTGATCATTGGCACATTGTTTGAGAGGTTATTTTTTTTTTTTTTATCATAGTGAATTTTTAATAAGCCAATGCCCTCCTAGTGCAAATATTGCTCACTTTATCAAGCTGTTAAAATAAAAATTCCCTTCTAGTGAAACATCATAAACCTTGCTCACTATGTCAATTTGTTAGCTTGGCTGTTTCTATTATAAAAAAATTGGGAGAATTACATTGAAGTTTTACACAAAATAATTAATCTTGTAATAATTAATTATTTTGTGTGGGACTTGTATATGATTCTCTCAAAAAATCTAGTGAATCAAAAGGGATTAAGAATTGGCTAGAGACATATCCTTATTTAATTAGGAGTTAGCAGACTCTTATTTTGTGAATCACTTGTGTTGTTTGAATACTTTTGTTTTCTTTGGTAAAAATAAAAATAAAGTAAAATATGGAGGTGGGGATTCATGATGATAAAAAGAGTATAATATAAGATTTGATAATATAAAACTTGATAAAAATAAAACCTAATAAAACTTAATATTTTGTAATATTAAGCCAAAATATTAAATAAAATAATAAGATTGAATTATGCTCTATTCTGGCAAAAAAAAAAGAATTAAGATATATTGCAAAATATAATTAGGTAAAAAGAGAAATCAAACCAGAAGTTCTTATAAATGGATTCTAGGAGATTTCAAAAGAGTAAGGTGATGGAGATAAGAGCCTCCCCCCCCCCCCGGGTGATATACTCTTCCTTTAATTTAAACTGGAAATGCGAAAAGAATTTAATTTTAAATATAATTGAACTAAATATATTATCACCACTTCAATTGAATTTTGATAAGTAATTAAATTGAATGAATAAATCTATTTCTTAGTTAACGTATTTTGGGAGAAAACTGTTAATTATTTTTATAGTTCAAAAAATATAATTTTTCATGGTGTTTGATTGAAGTACTTTTACATAAGACATACATGGCTGACTGTAAAAGAAAAATAAAAGGATTAAAGCATAATTTTACTCTCAAATTAATCAGTTTATTTTTTTGATGTAATGTTTTTCTTCAATATTTACAAATAGCGTGGCGCCTCTATCATCAATAAAATTTAAGTTTGAATGTTAGTAATCTGAAAATTATACACCTAAAAAATAAAAAAAAAAATATAAAATTGCCACTTAAGAATGAATATGACAATGAGAATGAATAGGTATAATTTAATTATCGTAACATCTCTCAGCAAACTCCGTTGTCGTCCAGCGGTTAGGATATCTGGCTTTCACCCAGGAGACCCGGGTTCGATTCCCGGCAACGGGATTCTTTTTTTTTACCCAGTTTTGGAATTTTTGAATTTGTCAATATGGTATTCAGTTTCAATTAGGGCTTGGCCCTCTCTCTCTCTCCCCCACGTACTTCTTTGTTGGTTCAGTTTCCAAGAGGATTTCAAATTTTCAATTGTGTTCGTTCCAATTATCTTATGGCGAAGGATGGCTGCCTTGCTCGTGTCACCGCTGGCGTTGCTGTTGGTGGTGCGGTCGGCGGCGCTGTCGGTATTTCATTTTATTTCCTCTGCTTTGATTGCCTTCCTTCATTGGCTTCACCATTTTGTTCAACTTCTTTTTCGTCTCCTTTGATGCTTTATGGTTCATCTAGTTCTTCTGCTTCAACTTTTAATTGATTTGTATTTTTTTTTCTATTTTAAAAAATTAGTCAGCTGTATTGGAAAATCATTGCCTTTTCGTTTTGTTTTCTGTGATTGTTTTTGGGGTCATCGGGGATATGGCTAGCATGTTAATTTTCTTTTGTTGGTGTAAATTTCGAACTTAAATTGTTCGAATTAATCTACTAATTTGATGCTTAAATTGTTGTTTTTTTTTTTTGCAGAGTCATTCATCCTTATGATCCTGGAATTTTAAGGCTTTAGGCGTTTTTATTTATTTTATTTATTTGTTGTTTGTTTTATGGCTGTTATATGGTTGGACTAGATAGCTACTACTCAAAACTGACTGTTCCATTCTTGTTGATTTCTACCTAAGATGTGTTAGTTGTTGGAGTTTATTTTTGATTTTTTTTTTTAAAATTGTTTCATTCTGCTGACGGCCTGATGCTTCGCGCAGAATGCTTATGTTTAACAAAATTTACTGATTCTCTTTTCCGTTCAGAGCAATGTCCAATTGCATGTCTCAATGAAGTGTTAGCTCGTCTCTTTTTCCATATCCTCCTTCATTGGTAGGAGATCTTGCAATAGGAGAATCACATAGATTAGAAAAATTTCTTTGATTCAGGAAGTAGTCTTGTTCAGCATTTGGATTATAAACTCTACTGTCGAACATATAATTTTGAAATTCTTACTATTTTGTATTTCATCTGCTTGGAGTTGTGAAGAAATTACTTGATTTAGCACTTTTCTCCTTGCGCTGCTTACCATGCAGGACATTTATGTATAGTTAGACTACCCAAATAAACAAATTTCTGCCGAGATGGTTTCATCTTTCATGCCTCTATTCCCTATTACTTTATTATCACTTGTTTTGGTGCTCATTTGGTTGATCCAGGATCTACGATCTCAAGCCTTAGGGTTTGTTCAATATGAAAGCAATTATGTTGTCTTTCACAAGGATTTTATATAGGACATGCCCATTGTGATCTTTTGATTCTCTGTTCAATCTTTAATGTCGCAGTAATTAATCATATTAAGCTTCAAACCTGTTTGATTGATTAATAGCTTTCAAATATTATAATTATTCTTAATAGAAGTCGAGGGGACTGAGGGAGTGAGTGATTCCTCCCTCAGTGCTTTGCATCCTGTTTGGTACTTAGTACTGGATGTGCATGCGTTAACAGTAAATTTGGCCTCAGTTTTTAATCCAGTTGAGGCACACTTATTAGCTGTGAGTATGGATTTTTTGAATCTTGATCTCTAAACTTTGCATGAAGTTCGAGTACCTTTGGCTGGAATATTTCTTCAAACACTTGAGATTTCCAAATTGGTGGTCATGTAAAACTTTGCACTAACTACTAGAGACTTTGGAGTTGTCTAACTCATAAAAAGCTTTAAATCACATGCTGCCTAGCTATTACATCATCACATGCATTAACGGTTTTCATTAGGTATGTTTGACCTGTATTTTAAATTTTTACATACTTTAACTAAATTCTCTGCCATTTTTCAGGTGCTGTTTATGGGACATACGAGGCTATTAGGTATAAGGTATGCTATATGTTCGTACCCTAATAGTTTATGTGTGGTTTCCAGTTTTGTTTTCCTTATAGACAAGTTTTGTTCTTGTCGAGGTCAAGCTGAGTCTTTGCTGTTCCTTATTCCTTCAGTTAGATGGGGTCGGTTGTGGGTGAGTTCGTTCTGTTTTACAAGTTACACAGACCACTCTGTCTATGAATGCGTTTAGCTTAAATGTTTGATCAACTTGACCTTTGCTACTTAATAGAGCCCAACTATGAAAGCAAGCCTTTAGATATGTTTTTGTGTGTTAAGGCAAACTCAACTGAATCGATCCTCTATTTTGTAAAAGTGATAAAATCAGTTCAATTTGATTTTGGTCCAACTCAGACAGAACCGAAGATATAAAATACTCCTAATTGTCGAAGACCTGTAATTTATAGAAAATAATTGTTTTCTCATTGCAAGGCCAAAGCAGTAATGTCTCTATTTATGTCAATACCATCATGGTTGTTTACAATTGTATTTATTGAATCGCACTATATTGGGAGTCAAAAATCAATTCCTTATTTGAGGCTTGGTTTGGATGGAGAGAAAAGTGAGAAGATAACAGGAAGGAGAAATTTCCAAAAATGGTAAATTACTATTTTTGGGAGTTTTCTCTCATAGTTTTCCTTCCTCCCTATTTTTCTCCCAATCCAAATTAAGGGTTAGTGTTTTATTGGGCTGATTTTTTTTTAAAATTAAATAATGCGTGTTGCAGGTACCTGGAGTTTTGAAAATTAGGCATATTGGACAGACCACACTGGGAAGTGCTGCAGTTTTTGGTCTTTTCTTGGGTGCTGGTAGCTTGATACATTGTGGGAAGTCATACTGAATACTGAGGTCATGAATATTTCCCCGCTTCCCTATTGACAGAGGCTTGCTTATGAGCTCAAATCTGGCACCCATGGAAAGTCTTGGAAATTTGCTTGAGTTTTATGGAGCCTCCCATAAGGTTTAGTTACACCTTCTTGTTCATTATGATTTTTTTTAATTTTTTGTATTTATCCTTTGATGGTGCCCTTGAATTTTCTTTTCAAGAGCTTTCTATGTATTTTTGATCCAATACTCTTTCCTTTCATGGTGATACTGTAGTTCTTTGCAGAGCAAAAAGTAGTCTGTGGGTTGCACAGTGTATATGCCTCAACTCTGTTTTTGTTTGCATATATGGCAGAATGATGAAATGAATAATCCTGTAATGATAAATCCGGTTATTGTTGACTGCAAACGAGCTATATCATGTAAGTCTTTCTACTATCACACCTGTGAAATATAATAATTTATAAATTCTCAAAGATTGTACCAATTCTCTAATCATTTAAATGTATTTAAAATATGCAAAGGATCCAAGTATCATTTTTTACAATGATGGCTGCAATCTTAGCTACACAAGTGGCCAGGGAATGGAGAAGTAAAACTTATATGAGAATGAGAAATAAGGAACTCATAAAAAAGTTAATACTAAATTAGTATCTCATGATAACTTAACTCTTCAAATTCAGTACGCATTTTCTTGTATTTTACTATTGAAAATCTTTCGAAAATTCTGATTCAATATTGACCTTTTCATGCATGAAGTCTTTGTAGGTATGTAGCTTACGTGTGTGTGTGTCTACGAAGAAGCATAAAACATGACTATGTTCGCATCATTTCTCAATAACTTAAATGTAAATTTGATACAATCCATTGGCTATGAATTCATGGTATGTAATAATAAGAGTTAATCCAATTAGTAAAATTTAATCCAAAGTTTACAAGATCAAATGTTCAAATCCTGTTATTATAATATAAGTTATGCTATGTTTGACATCTACAATAAACTAATAATTGACAAGGTCGAAATGGAAATAGAAAAAGAATCAAGAATAAAGTGCATTTGATGTTCAAGACTATTACCAGAGAATCTAATTCAACCAATTTTGCTTGAATACAATTTCATCATATTAATTGACGATGGAATTTGGGGGGGGAGTTCCATAATCAGATATTTCGCCTGACATCTTTGTTTATATTTGTTTGTTAATTTACATTATAATTAACCCCCGTTGGTCTATCATTTCATAAATAATAATGTAAAATTTATTCTTATTATATGCTCTTATACTTTCTTTGATTTTTATTATAAAACATTTTTAAAAGAAATAAAAAGTTTTTATTATTAGGTCACTTGACATGGTATTAATTAAGTTTTTCCAATATTACTTATATTTAAAGTTTTTTTTTTCATTTTCAAACATCTTTTTTATTTCATAAAATAGTTAGTGTTGCTTTCTAGCTAGTATGCACGGATGGACTAGAGATCTTTACCTATTTGACCTTACAAGAAATGGCTCAATATCAAGTCAAATCAAGAACCAAGCAAGATGTCAACAGACTCTCTCCTCTGTGAGAGCTCGTTTTGTTTTCTTCTTCTTCTTTCTTCTTTGATTCTCTGGTGATTGATGGTTACGTTAGAGTGAATTGTGTCCTTAATTCTGTGATGAAATTCTAGTGATTGCTCTTAGAGGTTATGTGTGCGCTTGTGATGGCTTTGGGGTCGGGATCTGTTGAAGACTCTGAGAAACCGTTGATTTGGAAAGATGAGGAGATTAAGAGTATTCTGGTAGGAAAGGTTCTCTGTGCTAAGGAGGTCAATCATCCTACGATGGAAAGGATGATTAGAAAGGCCTGGAATCTGGATGAAGGCCCAAATATTATTGAAGTTTTGGATAATGTTTCAATCTTTAAATTTGCTGATTTTAATGAACATAGCAGGATTTTAAGAGGTAGACTATGGTCTATGAATGGTCATCTTCTTAATTTGCAGGAGCGAGAGAAGTATAAGTCGGTGGAGGATTTTTTTTAGTAGGGCACTATTTTGGATACAGCTTCATAATGTGCCTTTAGAAGCTACGAATATGGAGAATGCAATTATGATTGGTAATCGTATTGGTGAGGTGGTGATGGTTGAGGATCCGATATGTAATAAAAGAATGTTAAGAAGTTATTTGCGTGTTTTGTGTGGTTGTGGATAGAGGAGACTGCTCATCTTGAGGTTTTGGATTTTGAAACCTAATAATGATAAGGTTTGGATGTCGGTGATGTATGAGAAGTTGACTAACTTTTGTTTCAAGTGCGGGAAGCTTGGACATAAGCCAAGAATTTGTGGTTCTATGAGGTTGATGTCAGTGGTGAATCCTCTAGAATCTCGTTATGGTGCTTAGATGTCCACTAATCAAGTGAGGAATTAGGAAGAAGCTCTGGTATTAGTTCGGAAGGACTGGGCTGAGAGAGTAGATATTGAGAGGAGATGAAATGAGATGCAGCATAAGAAGATTATGATCAATGTACTGTTAGTGCATATAATGATAATGACTTGTTTATTATCAAATCTTCTAGAGCAAAATACTTTGGGAAGGAAAATATTATCAAAACATAGAGGATTGGAGAGAAGGGAAAAGGATAGCGGAGGAAGATTGGAACATTTATGAGAAGGCTGTTAAAGATGAGGTCAATATACTGTGGATATTTTAAGTACTGGGCTTAGCAAAGAGAGGATCATGTTGTTGCAAGATTTGCATGTTAGGCCTGAGGTTTTACATACTGGGGATAGTAAAGTTTGTGAGCCGCTTGTGAAATAGATGAGGTGGTTGGTAACAATAATTTGAGTTGTATGTTATTTTGCCTTTTGTGAAACAGAAAGTGCAAGCAATGGTGTCACAATTGGATAATTGGGGCCTGAAAAGGGGTGCTGAGGTTGAGATTGGGCTCGTTACTATCAAGAGAAGGAAAGTATCTGTAGAGCAAATTAGTCACAGTGCTTTATGATAGTCTTTGCTGAGAACTTGAGACAAGTAAAAAGTAGATTAAGGCATGGTTCTGGTATAAGGCATAGATCATCAGGATCAAGAAAAACTAAGGTTTTGAACAAAGTCTGGGATGGGGAGGATGCATTTATGGTTAGTGATAAATCATGTGAGACCTTAGGTTTCACTTTTAAGCCTCACGAAGATGGTAAAGTGGGTTCTATTTTTGTTGAGGGTGTTGGTGGCTAGCCTCAACAGCCACCAAGGAGCCATGAAACTTATTTCTTAGAACTATTAGGGTCTGGGGAGAGCCTTAGCGGTTAGAAATTAAGAGATTTAGTGAGATAGAATAATCCCTCTATTATCTTCTTAATGAAGACCAAGATATACAGTAGGAAAGCTATTCATATTCAGAGGGGTTGTGGTATGATGAATGAGATTTATATTGAGCCTGATGGTTTATCTAGTGGTCTAGGGGTATGGGTGAATGATGATATTGATTGTCTGTGCGAATGTCTACTAAGAACTTGGTGCATGTTGAGGTAATCTCTAGTTTTGTTCCTTCACCTTATTTTTATTACGTTTATATATGGCCCTCCTTGTAAGAAGAAGGATTGATTGTTTGGAATAGATTAAGGAGACTTGCACATGGTGTGAGGGGGGAGTGGTTGGTAGTTGGTGATTTCAATGATTTAGCTTCTCAATTTGAGAAGGAGGGAGGTAGGCTATAATCTATAAGGAAGATTTTAAATTTTCAGCGTTGATTTCTAACTGTGGTTTGATGGATCTGGAGTTTCAAGGTTCTAGATTTACATGGTGTAATAATAGAGATGAGGATGCTGTTATAAGGGAGAGGATTGATAAAGCAATGGGGAATGTGGAGTTTAGGGAGACTTTTGAGAAGGCAATGGTGTTTCATACTGAACCAATTGGTTTAGATCATCATGCTCTTGTTATTGATTGTTGTTTTAATGAGCATAAGATACCAAAGGTCTTCAGATTTGAGCTGAATTGGATTTTACATGCTGATTTTTTAGCCATAGTTAGGTTGGGGGGAATAAGGTGGATGGTGTTGTTGATTCGAATGTAGTGGATTTTGTTAGAAGATGGATGTGTGTAGGCTAATTCTGACTCAATAGATTAAGAGAGTGTTTCCTAATAATAGGAAACTTATTGAACAATTAAGGAAGAGTTTGACTGAGTGTAAAGAAGGGGTCTTAACTGATACAAAGATTAGAAGAATAAGGAGTTGACAAGGAGTATTGAGGAGGTTTGGGATAAGGAAGAGAGATTTTGGTGGCAAAGGTTAAGGGTATAATGGCTTAAGTTTGGAGATAGAAATACTAAATTTTTTCACAACACTATCATCTGTAGAAGGCAAAGGAATAAAGTTTTGAGATTATTGAATAAAAATGGGGTTTGGTTGGAGAATCAAAGTGATATTGGTAAGGAGTTTAGTGAGTTTTATAGGGACTTGTTTGCTGCAACTAAGTTGAAAGGGGTTGACATTATTCTGTAGTATGTTAATAAGGTTGTTTCTGATGATGACAATGCCTTATTATCCAAACCTATTACTTATGTAGAGATTGAAGAAGCTTTTTTTCATATTGGTATGGATAAGGCTTAAGGCCTGATGGTTATTTTGCTGCATTCTATCAACATTCATGGTTTGGGATTAAGACTGAGGTTTGTAATATGGTTTTGGAGTTTTTTGGTAGCTGCTGTGAGATTTATGAACTTAATAAAACGAATATTATATTGATTCCTAAAGTTGAGAAGCCTGAAGGAGTTAAACATTTTAGACCTATTGATCTTTGTAATATGTCATACAAGATCATGACTAATAGGATGAAATTATTGATAGACACAATTATTTCTCCTAGTTAAGGGCTTTTATTACAAGAAGACAGATACAGGATAATGTAATCATTACTCATGAGGTGTTTTACTATTTAAAATGTAAAAAAAGGGTAATAAGTAGGAGTGTGCTATGAAGGTTGATGTGAATAAGGTGTATGATAGAGTTGAATAGGGCTTCCTTAGGGTGGTGATGCTAAAAATAGGGTTTTGTGCTGAATAGGTAATTTAGGTAATGAAATGTATTTCTTTAATGGCTTTTAATCTACAGGTTGTTGGTAGGACTATGGATTCTTTTATGCTAGAGAGGGGTTTAAGGCAAGGACCCTTTATCTCCTTATCTCTTTATTATTGTTATTGAAGTTTTTTTTCCTTATGATTCATCATCATGTGAATTGTAAGGAGTTGAAGGGTATTAAGATTGCTAAAAGGGTCCCAGTGTTATCCCATTGTTTTTTTGTGGATGATGCGTTATTTTTTATCCAAGCAAATAAGGATGATTGTATGTTTGAAGAAGATTTTTGTGCAACTTCTGGTCAGAGAATTATTTTGATAAGTCAAGTC